CATCTTATATTTTAAGGAGATACCTGGTTGACACCTAGGATACTGCTAGCAACCCGGTGTCAACTATCAGCGCCAGCCAATTTGAATGTTCAGTTGACTGAGGTTCATGTTTAATGAATAAAAGATAATAATAATAATAATAATAATAATTTGAAGGGACCTTAGAGGTCATCTAGTCCAACCCCCTACTCAGGCAGGAAACCCTATACCATGACATCGTGCAACCTATCGGGAGAGTTTTCCATTGCCGGCAATTGGGTGGGCGCAGCTTCCGCATGACGCGTCTGGCCCACGGGCCAGCAGTTTGACACCCCCGCCCTATACCATTTCAGACAAATGGCTGTCCAGTCTCTTCTTAAAAACTTCCAGCGTTGGAGCATTCACAGCTTCTGGAGGCAGGTTATTTCACTGATTAATTGTTCTAACTGTCAGGAAATTTCTCCTTAGTTCTAGGTTATTTCTCTCTTTGATTAGTTTCCATTCGTTGCTTCTTGACCTGCCTTCAGGTGCTTTGGAGAATATGCTATCTAGGTAATATTCAACTATTTTGTTAATCAAAACATTGCTATATAATACAATGTTTTGCTGAATTGCAATATATTATGTCTACACTAATCCCAGATCCTACTAAGGAAATTATCTGATGAAAAATGTAATAAGATTAGCCTGCCACAACCTGTTCTTGATAAATCCATCACAGATAATAGCTATTACTGCATTATTTTCAAGATGTTTATAAGCCAATCACTTTCTAATCTATTCTGTGGTTCCCTAGATCCATCTTAGCCTGCTTTTTGAAGAGCAGCATTTGTCATACTCTAGTCATCTGGTATGTCATCAGTTCACGAGGTTTTCTTCAGTGGGTTGGTTAGAGATTCAGCAAGACTTAAGCTTTTGGAGATATGAATTCCTTCAAGGTCAATACATACTCCCTGACAATATTTCTATCAAACTCAGGCTACAATCCCTCCCGCCAATATGTCATAACTGCTTCATGGGACATATATCCTGGAGGGCAAGGATCTCATTGTTGGAATGTAAAGACTGACTGCAAATTAAAACTGGGGAGCATGAAGCTTCAGCTTAGTGGAAACAAACAAATTTCATTTGAAAATATAAGAAACAAATAAAAAAAAAACCCCAGCTAATTCTAAAGCAGGCAAGTCAAATTGCCGGCTCATCAGCTGAGTGCATCATGCCGAAACCGTGCCCACCCCATTGCTAGCAATGGGGAAAAGTCGCAATACGTCGCGTGATGTCACAAGTTTGACATGCTTGTTCTAAAGCATAGATCAAAGCCTGGTATCAAGTAGCTTTTCTCCTCTTAATCAGTTTGTACACCATATGCAAATTGTGCTTGGTGTCTAACTCTGAAAAATGCATTGTAACATGATAGAATTAGACAACTGATGCACCTGGCTTTTATATTCTCGAAAGTGATAAACATACTACTAAACCATTCTCTAAAAAAGAAGTAGTTATAATATTATTACTGTGGGCAAAGAGATTTCTTTTTTCAGTTGTGTACCATTGTACATATCACTAATTGTTTATTTCTGAAAAAGCCAAAAGCAAAGCAAGCATGGCTTGGCCAATCTGTTTTCTGTTTGTAGCTTTATTTTATTTTTATATTTTTTATTTTATTTTATTTTATTTATACACAGACATACATACATACTTGTAAACTGCTTCAATTTAGATGAGTCTGGGCAAACCAATACAAAATTAATATTTCCATACCTTAAAAAGAGCCCTCAAGATTATAATAAGATTTTCAGAGAGTTGGGTGGAACACACAAAGCAGACCAGAAATAGGTAGTTAACCACAAACCAATCATGTTTTCTCATTGGTTAAGTCACAGCTGCAACCAGAAAGCCAACAACGTCTTGTTTTCAGATTGTATGTTACTTCCCTAAAAAACACTCAAGGTTTATTCACTGAACAATACACCAAGTAAAAAACAATACCACTTAGATAAATTCAGTCATTTTACAGCTTAGATCAGGGGTAGGCAACCCTGGCTCTTTTATGACTCATGGACTTCAACTCCCAGAATTCCTGATCCAGCATGGCTCAGCTTGGAAACCTCTCCCTTTCCCCTTACCATGGCTGGCTCAGGAATTCTGGGAGTTGAAGTCCACGAGTCATAAAAGAGCCAAGGGTTGCCTACCCCTGGCTTAGATGAACTGTGTCACTATTAAAAAAAAATTGTGACAAAAGACCAGTCTACACTCTCCCTTCTTTGATTTTCTCTTCATTGGGAGACTCCTACCTTCACCTATGCAACCAATATTTTGCCTCCAGGTGTGTTTAAACAATAAGTGACATAATTAACCAGCAGCTGTTCAAATGACATGTGATGGGGCAGAGAATTTCAGTCTAATACTGAGTTAAGATCATTGATCTTAACGCTACAAAGAAATGGTGAAGTCAGGCTATGCTTCCTCGAAAACAGCCAAAATCAATTACAGGTAGTCCTCGTCTTAGAACAGTTCATTTAGTGACTGTCTGAAGATACAATGTAACTGAAAAAATGTGACTGTTTTTCACACTTACGACCATTGCAGCATCACCATGGGCATGTGATCAAAATATGGATGCTTGGCAACTGGTTCATATTTATGATGATCGCAGTGTTTCGGGATCATGTGATCACCTTTTGGGACTTTCCGGCAAGTAAAGTCAATAGGGAAGCCAGATTCACTTAACAACCATGTTACTAAATTAAGCCCTTCAATGATTCACTCCACAACGTTGGCAAGAAAGGTTGTAAAATGGGGCCAAATTCACTTAATGACTGTTTCACTTAGCAACAGAAATTTTGGGCTCAATTGTGGTCGTAAGCTGATATTTTTTACTCCTTCCTTCACCTAATTTTTTTAAAAAATCCAGTCAATTAGTGCTTGTGGGTCTGTAACAAAGTAGGATTGCATTTATCACAAGTGCAAGTCCTCTGGCTTTGAATCAAGCATTTCAGGCAGTAGACTTAGCAGAAAATACAAAACTATTTTATACAAGACCGTTTCAAGAGTAGTTAGAATCTCCAAAAAGTTAATTCGTATAATAACTCTACAAAGTCTTGGATTTAGTCTAAAAAAGCAACTTGCCTACTGCCCTTTCAATTCTATGGTTTAGATTGTTATTTTTAAACCTTGGCAACTTTAAGACAAGTGGACTTTAACTCCCAGAATTCCCCAGCCAGCGTTGCTGGCTGGGGAATTCTGGGAGTTGAAGTCCACCTGTCTTAAAAGTCCCCAAGGTTCAGAAACACTGGTTAGATGAAATGAATGAGGATATCCAGTCTCTCACTTTGCCCTCTTTACTGCTAGATCAGCAGTTCTCAACCTGCATTTGGGGTCGAACGACCGTTTCACGGGGGTCGCCAAACAATGCAGTCTGCCATTTTTTCCCCTTTTCCTTAGCTGTGCTACTCCCTTTTATTCAATTGGCTTTTGAAAGCCAATAGAATAGACTCTCTTGAATAGAGTCTAATTCTATTGGCTTTCAAAAGCCAATAGGAATTGTCCAGGCTATCTCTGCCCTGCTGAGCCCGCCAAAAGTCCCATTCTGCAAACGGTGCTGCAAGTTGTCTGCAGCGAAGGCGAGCTGTCTGGACGTTTCCACCCCTCCCTGCTGAGCAATTACTAAAAATGTAAGTAAAAGAGGGCCAAGGGTGGGAGGTGGGAGGCCGGCGGGCGCAGGGAGGGTTGCTGGCGCGCATGGGGCCCGGAGGGTGCCTTACCTCCCTTGGGCTGGGCCAGCTAGTGGCCCAGCTGGTGGTCGGCCTGCTCCGTCTCTGCCGCTTGCCAGCTACGCTTCGGCCGGCACAGGGGGCAGCACCAGGCATGCGCGGCGCTCCCAGGCAGGGAAGTCCTCGACTTACGACTGGTTGGGTAGTCCTCGACTTACGACCGGTTGGATAGTCTTTGACTTACGACCGGTTGGGTAGTCCTTGACTTACGACCAGTTGGGGTCGCGGCATTAAAAAGGTTGAGAACCACTGTGCTAGATCAACCAATCTTTGACTTTCATACAGGGAAGACTATCAGGGTGAAACTGAACAGACGCAGTTAGCAGGGCAATATTTTGTTGAAGTCTCCAATCCTAATTCTGGGGATAAAGAAGTATAATCCTCACCTGGTCTCTTATTAAGAGTTTAGACCTCTGATTAGGCTGAAATTTCATTTGCACCCTTGGAGCAAAGTGCCTCTCTCTCAAGTCAGAAACCACAGCAACTTTCTAACTTTACTTAAGTTCCTCTTGATAATTACAGCCAGGTATCTACCACTAGAAGCACTGTGCCACCACCTGGCACCAAGCCCATGTTATTTCTAAGAAAACTGACACTGTTGAACAGCTATAGTATACTCATCTACTAGCAGCTGCAGGGCAAACAAAACCCAACCTCTGCACATTCATTGTTGAAAACCACTACCTACTTTCTTACCCTTGTTAATTCTACAAGGAACTGAAATCTGTGCCAGCTTGTACCAACAGCATAACAGCATGTTTTATGACAAAATTACTAAGTTTGGGAGAGCTCGTAGTTAAATAATAAAAGCTTTCCGGGTTAGAACCTCCCCTCAAGGGACATCGGATGGGTTTGGGAATGTCACACTACTTACAGGCTGCCATGTTAACATATTTTATGAAAGGCATCTGTAGTCTTTTGCCAAAAGTGTATCAGATGTTATGGTACACACTGTAATGAAAAAGACAGGTTGCTCTTTATCAATGTACTTTGGCAAAGAATCCCACCATGTGCAAGAAGAAATGGCAATTCCATTTGTGTCCTTAAGCGAGGGTCAGTATTTGTGGTATCATTTTACAGATCACTGGCACAAGGTTGAGGAAATGAATGTGACCAGAAAGAAGAAAACAGAAGAACGCAGTACAGCGATACAGGCAGCATGTACCAGTGGAAAGTTATATTCAGATCCAGCTTCGAATTTCAATGAACCTATTGGGCAAATTTTTAAAAAATGCAAACAGCTGAATACAACAGAGTGCTTTTTTCATTCCTAAAATAATGCACTGGAAAACAACAACATGCCATTTTACAATAGTATTTATCAAAAGGGAAATTAAGCAGCAAAATCCAATACTAATACATTATCAAGCACAGAGTACACTTTGAAGCTTCCCTCTGACATGTACTAATTATAGACACATACACATTTTGTTCAGCAAATTCAATTCCTGCTTCTCAGCACCTGAATTACAGATCAAAAACTCTAAATAGGCAAACACTTAAATAGCAATTAGGGGACAATGGAATGGAAAGGAAAAACAATCTCTTTCTAAGTTTCTCCTTATGATTTAAAAAAATGTTTCTATATCTCATGTTTCTATAAAAGTATTTTATTCTGCATTTATAGTATTTTATTCTTACCTCCATTCTACGCCCTTAGTTTGAGTAATGCAAAGTGATTATAAGATAAAAAATAGCAATTATACATTGGATATAAATGGTATATCTCACGTAACAACTGGAATAACCACAAAGTAACTTGAAAATTTGAAATAAATCCTCCTCAGCAAAATGCGAGTTAGCAGATGTTATCAAGAGACATCTGGCTTCCTTAGAACATACAGAACTAGTCATGATCTTCTTTCCTACGTTTTTGAATGTGCAGAAACCTTGGCCTGGATAAATGTAAGACAAATCACAACATTAAATCTTACTAAGAAGAGCATAGAAGTTTAAAAGGGAACTTTATAGCACTTTAAAGACTAGCACATTTTACAGTATGAGCTTTCTTGGAATTTATTAGATGTTGAAAGTTTTATAATCCCTTAATAATATGTTAGAATGGTTTTAACCAAGAACTGTAGGTTACAAAGAGTTCATGGGATTGTTTGTTATCAGGAGATCAGTTAATTAATTTTTTCATGATATAAATCAATTTCCAAGCTGTTCTTAAGTTTCACAAGAGTCATTTTACTACTCCAGGTGTTCAATGAAAAGAATAAAGTACAATATTTGGCCCAGCGTCTGCATAATATACAAATAAAGTGAAAGATGTTCAACAACATTTCTCTGTATTCTATGCAGAAAGCAACATCTCTCCTCAATGTTTCCTATGCTTCCATGGAACTGTTTGAGGCACAGCATTTATATACTTGGCTCAACTTTGGCTTCATAATATACAGGTAGTCTTTGACTTACGACCACAATTAAGTCCAAAATTTCTGTTGCTAAGCAAGACATTTGTTAAGTGAGTTTTGCTCCATTTTTACGATCTTTCTTACCACAGTTGCTAAGTGAATCACTGCAGTTGTTAAATTAGTGACATGATTGTGAAGGGACATGATCTGGCTTCCCCCTTGATTTTGCTTTTCGGTAGGTTGCAAAAGCTGATCCCATGACTTTGGGACAACTATCATAAATATTAATCAGTTGCCAACCATGTGAATTTTGATCACCTGACCATAGGGATACTGCAATGGTCATGTGAAAAACGGTCATAAATCACTTTTGCCAGTGCCGTTGTAACTTTGAACAGTCACTGAATGAACTGTTGTAAGTCGAGGTCTACCTGTATTGTGGGCTGCCAATACAACTTGGTACAAGGGTTCTATAAGACGCTTGCTGCATAAAGAAACAAGAAAAATGAACATCTAGGAATCTTCCCCATCTTACTTTCCACAGAAGTCCTTGTGTGTAGCAGATACAAAGAGGTTCAAATCAGGATGACCGGACAGCCAATTTGTTACCATTTTGGGGTGCCTGGGGTCAACCTCCAAATACACACTCCTGAAAGAAGAAAAAACAACAACCATCTTTATTAAAACTTGCTTCAATGAAAAATACACAAATTAGCATGTTGTGAATCTGGTTCCAGTGGAGTTTTGTAAAGGCATACTGGGGTGGTTTTTGCAATGATTCAAAGTCCCTAAACTTCCAATTTAACCATATTTATGGCTTGCTTTTGGCAGCTTTTTGGTTTTATTATGAGTATGAGTTAAATGAAAAATTGGATAAATGCTAATGCAAGCATATGCCCCTTAGGTGCAAGTCTCTCCAATCAGACACTAGGTTATGAGAAAGAACTCTCCCAGTTCATTGTGCAGTGGATCCTACATTCTTGTAGAGAAAAGTCCATTTAATGCAGTCTGTGAAATCCATTGTTATTAATCTCTTTATCAGAGAAAAATAAACCCTATTTCTTTTATTATATAAACTGATGAATATTTATATGAATAGTACCGGTTTAAAGTTTGGTGAGGTCTGATGCTCTCAGGGGCAGCTTTGCCCAAGTGACTTCCCCATTTTTTTTTTGTGCCAGCTCCTCCCTTCCATCACAGCAATTCAAGCACTTTTACTGTAAATCATTTCCTCATTTATAAAAATGTGAACATGATTATGTAGTCATATCACTGTACGTTAGTCAGTTTTTGGTTTTACTAGTTTTACTGTTTATTTTATTGTTGCATATATTGATTTATTTTTGGATGGTAAGCCACCAGAGATTTCCTTGGAGATCTTAATTCATTCTCTTTTATCTTTATATAATTTAGAATCATTTGCATCTTCTCTTGTCTTTTTGTTCAGCATTTTGTTCTGCTGAATAATTGCCTTTGCATGAATGCTTTACTGCCATCCCATACTATTTTATTATCAGTGCACTTGTTGAAATTATTCTAAAAAAAAAATAAGACCCCTTTTACATTTTTTCACTATCAATTTACATTGTAGTAATATTTCATTTGATCTCCATCTATAGGTCCAACTTTCTTCTTGTATATTAAAATCTAGTTGCCCGCTCTCAAAGTGAAACACATACACACCTAAAACATAGTATTATACAACATATGTATAGACCCACACCTCTACATGTACATAACAAATAAATATTAAATACTGTCCATCTTGAATATACAATGAAAGGAGGCGGCTTGAGAGAATTTATTTAGTAATCAAAAAAGAAATATGAACTTTGTATAATTTTGGTATAATTGTATAATTAAACTTTGTATAATATAGATCACAATGTAAGTGATTGATTTTTGGATGCAAATTTTCTTATTTCCTGTACAACAAAACTTTAACTTACTTGTAAGAAATTATCTATTTCAGTTACTTTTTAACATTGTTTTGATGTGTGTGTATTGTATACATAACATAGTGTAATTATTTTTTTTTCATTTGGACAAAAATATGTAACTTCTCATTTGATAAATAATTTTGAAATTTACATTTTATACATGTAAAGTATATTATGTGCTTGTTTTGAAAATACTTTAGCAAGGACAAAGGAATCACAAAATGCACAGTGATGATGATTTAATCATTTTGTATCCAAACTCATGCCTACACTTACTCACAGCATTTTGCAGTCCACAAAATAACTGACAACAAAAGAACTAAAACAAAGTAAAAATTCTATTTTTCACCCCAAATGTTGTGTCATGTGTCTAACTAATGAAACACTTCAAAGAACTTTCAGGCATGGTTTAACCTAAAAAAGCCTTTATTAGTGTAGAGGTGTGTCAGCATGGCATGATGGATGCCAAGATCTGAATTTCCTTTCCCTTTACACATAACATTCCAGGCATTTCCCCTCCCCTATTTTAGGGTCATGATTTAAATCTTCCAATTAACCTGGAGGGCAAAGATTCACTTCCATTCCTTTTCCCGGGCTTTCCTTACTAATCTCCTCCCTTTCTCTGTCATCTGAATTAACTCTAAAAATACCAGACAGTTCTGCATATTTTGTCAAAGCAAGAATATTCAATATTAGCAGCATTGACACACTGAATCAATCAGGCTCAGTTAAATTTACATATGGAAGTAGTTCACATCAGCAAGAAAAAGAAATATTTTCCTCTCTCTGTCACTGACTTCTCTATTTTGAAGATAGAGATGAGAGAAAGAATTCATTTTTTTGAAAAAATTATGACCTTGAAAAATAATAGTTAATGACTCAGGTTACAAATGAAAGTTCTCTCAATGAAACTGGTTCCTCTTTTCTTTAAACCGGTCTTCTAAGAGAGGGGGAAAGATCTTACCAGCTTTTACTCTCTTATGCTTTAGAAGAAACATTGTATTTTCTCTTCAGTGGAAATTATTTGAAATTTTCAGTCTTATACTAAGCTTGACAAGAGTTTTATGTGTTAAATTCTGTGTTGTATATATTAAGAATTCCATTCTGTTCTTCTTTCTATAGTATATACTAGAATACTATAATAAAGATATTGGACTGAAATATAGCAAATATTTTGTTTGCTAGTTTGAACTGTATTTGACTTGTAAACAATGAAACCCCCGAGAATTTCTCATCTCCCAACCTGTTTTCATGCAGATCACTAACAACAGAGCAAGATTTTCTGGTAAACAGGTGTGTCCATAATGATAGGATGACACACCAAAGCCAAAGCACAGGATGATACTGGGAGAAGCTGCCTTTATCTTCCCCAAAGGAGCTTTCGCAAATTGCTATAATTGTTTATGAACGTAGTCCAAGAACACAGAATACTTCCGCCCAAATGGTTTATCCTTTTTTAATGTTTCATTTATAAATTCCATCTTTTCCACTATAATTTTCTTCAATTATATAATCCTTAAATCTCAAAGATCCACAAGCATTCTTGGAAACAGCAGTTTCAGTCAATATTACTGGTAGTTAAGGATTATGTGAGAAGGAAGTTTTTTATTCTTATAATTTCACATTTTTAAAATTGTCCAAATTCTCAATGATGCTGGGCAATGTACAAATTGAAAACCAAAGAAACAGAACAACAATAGTCAACAGAAAAGCAAGATGGTCACCCTGATGGAACAGACACAAGAATCCCTCACAAAAAGAATCCACATTTTGTCCTAGCCTAAAGCCTGGAGGAAAAAGCCTGTTTTCTGGGTCCCATCAGATGACATCGTTAATGAACAGGACCCAGATCATGCTGACTCCATTTAAACTTATAGGATAGGCAGAAAAAAAGGGATGGTCCCTCAAATAACGAACCTGATGCCATACAGAGCTTTGTAGATGACAGCTAAACTTTAAATTACACTCATATGTATATCAGTAACCAGTGTAGGTTGCACATTGTGTTGGTGATAATTTTCACTTTGTGTAACTTGCATAGAATAATACTTCTGAGAAGAAAGACAATGAATGTAATTTAATAGTTCGTCTAAGATATATGGTAATGTACGCTTGTGAATAAGAATGGAAAGCAGAGGAATAATGACCCGTATGTATGTATGTATGTATATGTATGTATGTATGTATATATACATGTATGCACATATGTATATATGTTTGTATTTATAATACACCTTCCTCTTCCTATTTTCCTCACAACAAAAACCCTGGCTAAGGTGGGACTTCAACTCATGATCTCTTGCTTTCTAGTCTGAAACTGGCTGTCATATACGACTGTACATGTTTTTTTCCTCTCCTTTCCTACTCAAAAGGTGATGGGGAAGGGCACAGAATTCTACCCAAAATTAAAAAAAAAATAGTTTCATTCTCTATCTCTCTTTTTTTCTGATTTGCAGATTACTAAACAGGAAGACAAAACCAAGACAAGTCAAACTTCTTGGACATGTGGGAACTTTTTCAATGTTGGAAATGTGATAGAAAACCTTCCCATTCCAACACTCCAGAGAAGCATGTCACAGGCATCCTCATAAGTGGATGTCATATCTCACCCATTCAAAAAATGATTGCCATGGTGATCAACAACAATCACAGAATAATCATTTATGAAAAAGATTTATGTATATTCCTCAATCTTGGAGTTTGAAGGTTCTGCACAGTGTCTTAGCTGTTCCCAGCACTGCACTCTTCTGCACAGACTGGGACCACTTTGGCCTTTACTTTTCACATCCTCCTGGTACACATCTAGCTCCTGGTACACATCTAGCTCCTGGTACGTTTCCAGCTTCTCATACTCTTTCCAGATGTTGCTGACACTGGGCACTGCTATATCTAGTACCACCATTGTCTTCTGGTCCTTGTCTATTAACACGATGTCTGGTTGATTGGCTAGTCTCTTCTTGCCATTTTACACCCTGCCACTAATATGTTGGAGAGTCTTTGAGGCATTTCTGCAGTTTGCCCTCTGGGTCCTGTCTGGTATGGTAGACCCCTGCTTCTATGGATCTGGTGCTTAATGTCAGGTCTAGGAAATCAGAAGCCAGATTAGAGTTCAAAAGCACTACAAGTTTATTTCATGCTACATTTACTAGAATCCGATTGAGGCAAATTGGTGCCAGCTAAGAGTCAACAGGCTTCATGGGGGGGCTGGACTTAGGTTTTTTTTTAATGGGGATGTAGCAGCTCCAAAATGATGTGGTGTTTGACCCCACCCCCAAGCTCAGTCTGGTCATTTTTACACTTAGTGCCTGTTCTTCTACTGCTATGATCAGTATCTAAGTGCTGTCTTTTAGTCCAGCCCTTTCCAGCCACTGGTAGAATTTCCCAATGTCTGCCACCTCAGCCATCTGTCAATGGTATACCTCACCTAGGATCTTATTTTGCAATGGCACTTTGATCTTTTCCATGTCTGCAGGCATTCTCTTAGCAGCTCATCTTTAGCTGTCATTTTATTGATGCACACCTGCTTGCTCTGTTTTTGTCCAGGACAATGGGTTTAACACTAACAGACTCCATCTGCTCTCTTTCCGGTTGGTGTACAGTCTCTGAATTTGGAAATTTCTGTACATTGTGAAGAGCTCTCTTCTAGCATCTGGTCATATTTCTCCAGTCCAAATGACATCCTGATGTTCTCACTGTATATCCATATCGGGTAAATCAGTGAACGAATGTCTCGTTCACTCTTAGCATAGAATTTGATGTCATTCATATAGAGGAGATGACTGATGGTAGTTCTACTCTTTAACTTGTATCCATATCCGGTCCTTAAATATCTAAAACTACAAACCATCTTTAAAGAAAATAAAATTTAGGTGAGGCAGGAAATCCATGTTGCTAAATGCTGCTAAACATGGTGATATTCATAAGCACCTTGCATTCTAAGATTTGAGTACACTAGCAAGAATAGGATTTTCTCTATTTCTTCTCTCTCTAAAATTGGGAAACAACTGGGAGAAAAAAGCAGAAGTTGCTCTCTGATGAGCATACTTCTGTGCCACTCTGCATAGATGATTTTGGCTGCAAAGTACAAGACAGAAAATGTCATTTTATTTCTTTGATAATGCTGTCTGTTCAATTGTGTCTGATTCTTCGCAATTCTATGGATGAGCGCTCTCTATTTTCTGATTTGAAAGGCTTCTTTCAGTTGTTTTATGTTCTGGCTGGTATCGGGTTTTATATCGTCTAGCCACTGTGTTTATTTGGCAGCTTTGTTTTCTTTTATCATAGAACATTCTGAACATAATGCCTTTTCCAGAGAGTTTAAGCACATAACAGGGTGGAATTTTGTAATTTTGCCTTCCAGTGATATGTCTGATTTTATATGCTTCAGTACTAGTTGTTTGTCACCTTTGTTGTCCAATGAATTTGAAGAAACCCTCTCTAAACATCATTGCTTGAACAAGTTGATTTTCCTCTGTCCAGTTCTTCTGTCCAGTAGACGATTCCATGGTCCAAAATTCATAACTGTAAATAAATATGGGAAACACAATAATGCAGACTAATCAGGATTTAGTTGCAAAGCCAATGTCCTTGCTTTTCTATACTCTATGCTCACAATTGCTGTGTGATTCAGTGCAATTGATGATTTATTTTTGGTCTGCATTCACTGCTTTTAATCAATCTACATTCCTAGAAAAAGAGGATTCTTACAGGCATTCAATCTCTTTGTCATCAATTGTTATTTTGACATTTTCATTCCTGGCAGTGATTGTAAGGTTGGGGTTTTTTTATGTTCAGGAAGAGGCCAAATTTCTCACTTTTTTTCTTTAATCCTTTTGAGTTTAGGCCTTTTTTTTTGTTTTCCAAGAGGAGAGTTGTGTCATCAGCATACTGAAGATTGTTGATGTTCCTTTCCCCAATTTTTACTCTGATTTTTGATTCTTCAAGTTCCAGCTTCCTCATGATCACTTCAGCATATAGGTTGAATAAAAAAAGGTGGAAGAATGCAGCCTTGCTGCACTCCTTTCTCTATTTGGAATCAGTGTTTCCACATGCACAGTGACTTTGTATGGAGCAACTGCACCAACTTAACCAGATGTGTCGACATTCCCAGGTCTTCTAGAGCTCTCCGTGGCTTTTCATGATAGGCACACTCAAAAGCTTTCTTGTAAAAGCAGATGTAGGTGTGGTTTTTTTAAATATATTTTTCTCTGATTCAGTGCAGATTTGCTACATGTACCAGTACTGTGACTCCTTCTGAAGATAATTTGAACACCTGGTGATTTCCTTTAAATGGTCAGCACCAAATATTGTTGTATAATCTTAAGAAGAATCTTGACAGCGTGACGGATGAAGGCAATTGTGCAGTAATTGAAGCAATTCTTAGAGTCAACCCTTTTCACAACAGAATGAACAATGATATTTCCAAACCTGTAGCTATATATTTATTTCTCAGATTTTCTGTCACATGATTGTGGGTAGTACAGGCCTTGGCAATTCTGCAGGGATGATATCAATAGCTGGGACCTTGTTGTTTGGCAATTGACTCATTGCCCACATCTTACGGAAGGATGGCTGGTTCTATTTCTGTTTTCCTTTCCTCAGCCTTGAGGAGGCTGGACCTCTTCGTTGCTCTTCTGTATATTCTTGGCACCGGTTCTTGATACCTTGTTGATCAGATAGTTCTGTCCCTCCCTTGTTTTTGATGATGCTTTTATGAACAGTAAATGGTGTTTGTAACTTTTTGAGTTGCACAAATGCATTCCTGGGGTGGCCCTTCATTCAGCCCTCTTTTATCTGCTTGCAATGCTAGTCCCGGTAAACTTTGTTGCCTTTCTTGGCTGCTCTTTGGAAATGTGCTGTCAATCTCCTTGCTTCCTCCTGTTTGCCTGCTGTTTTGGTTGGGTTTTTTTTCCCCACCGGTTCCTTAGTCCCTTAAAACAGAACTTATTTCAAAAGAAGCAGTCAGTATCAGAACTTACCCACAATTCCTGAGAATGTAAGAGGCCATTTTCAGAATCTCTTTGATTATGCTCATCCCATCCGTTCCTCCATCCAGGGCACTGAGGTCCTCAAACCTATAAACCAAAGACACATCTAAAAACCAGGTCACATCCTGGGTTTACAGACAACAGAAAAGCATACTACTTCAAGGGCAAAGGCAAACATGTCATTAGATTTGGTCATTAGGAACGAGAATGGAAATTCTTGGTACTGAATTTTTATTGGAAAACTTAGGGGCTTTCCAGTTGGAGATGATAATCATTTTGGAGATGATAATCATTTATTTTAGAGATGATAATCATTTATTGCATTACTGTCAACAAAGGTATTCACAGAAAAAAATTACAGCAATACCAGCTTTCAATTTTAACAAAACTAATGTGACTAATTTATCCTTACTCCACCCACCCACCCTCCGCCTGTGGCCCACTACTGGGCCATGGCCCATTCATAGCCAGGCTGTGGAAGTGGTGGGTGAGCGTATGCAAAGCCCCATTTGTGCAAATGGCAGGTGTGCCTGCCTGCCACCCATGCAAATGGAGCTGTGCATGCTTGCCTGCCCGCTTGGGTGGAGCCATCCCCTCTCCCTTCCCCGCCAGTCTGCAAAGCCAGAAAGGTTGGGGACTTCCTATTAGGCAAACTAGGCATGATAAAAAAAAGGTCCATTAATTTAAATACCTATCTTTGAATCACACTGAAGATAGCGTTGGTTTGATTTTTTCCAGTAAAAGAGATGAACAAGTCATAAATGGAGGACCTGATCATGCTTCTCTCCAAACTGAACACTTTGCTCTAGGCATGGGACTAAATAAGAACAGGCCTCATGGGGACTGACTAAGGCAGGGGTTCTCAACCTTGTCAACTTTAAGACTTGTGGACTTCAACTCCCAGAATTCCTCAGCCAGCAAAGCTGGCTGAGGAATTCTGGGAATTGAAGTCCACAAGTCTTAAAGTTGACAAGGTTGAGAACCCCTGGACTAAGGAGAGATAAGCTGAAATCTATTATTTGTCTAACATTACAGCGAGAGAATTATAAAGTCCTTTGATGAATTATTTACGGTGTCAATAACAGCAGATCCTTTAGCCAAAAAGAATTCAAAATCCTAGAATGCTTTGTTTAACCTAATGGCTAACTGAAAGGTTAACTGAAATATTTCTAGTTTTCTAGAGTCTGAAACAGCCTTTTTTTCATTCCTAAATCTCCATGTTAATAGATTTTGAAAAGAGCCAAAAGGACAGCAAAGGACACTCATAAAGGAAATCTCACTTCATTTTTCAATTGCCAATAGGAGACCTAAGCTGTCTGGATTATGATATCAAAGGAAGGTTTGTTTGGTTTTTTTTTTTAGAAAAACTTTCTAGGCAATTTTCTCCTTACAAATTCTCTTTGCCATGGTATTAAAAAATCCAATTATCTGTATGGAATCTAAAATCAGGAGGCATCTGCTAGCACTTTTTCAGATTAACCAAATTGATTAAAAAGCATAAGCTTTTGTTGAGACTTTCTGAGATGAAAATAAATGTGTTCGCCTGAAAAAGCGCTTTAGATTCCTTCTGATTTTGGGGGGCTAAAATCGACTAATACAACTTTCTTTCTACAATGTCTATTCTTCCTCCCGTGCAGAAAATAAAATTGTCAGTGGAAGGGAAAACATAGCTGAATTCAGACAGGGGAGAGATTGCAGTTGCCATTATATCCTTAAAAATTATAAGAGACTGTATTAATGCCAGGGCTTTCAACATCACAGTCTTTGGCTTTAAAAGTTGCAGCAAAGGGAAAAACAAAACACAATGTGGAAAATAAAGAAAAGATGAATCTACCAGAGAATTTCTGCCGCCAAGCCACTCATATCTTCATGAAAAATGTAAGGTGGATTACTGATGATAGTATCTACCAAACCCCAAGGCTGTAGGCATTCCCAAGAACCTGCAATGAAGAAAGCATGAAAACACTTTTTAGACATTCAAAGGAGTAGGCAAGCATTTATTCTTTTATTTTAAAACTTCACAAATGCCCATGAAAAAGAGCTTTTAACGTTCTTTTGAATTTTAAGCAATCCGATTCTAAGCATAATCCTAGTAGAGTCTATTTCAAGAACTGGAATCCAATAAGAAAAAAAGACTGTGACAGGATTATTTTCATTTTCTCATTGAAAAGAAATACCTATCCAAAAGAAAATTGGAAAGTATAATGGAACAGCTATAGTTGGGTGAATTAAAAAGAGAATATATGTAAAGTATGTTAATTTTACAAATCATAACAATAATGATTACAATGTATGGGTGAATTTCCATATAAACTGCACAAATAATTTGATAATCCATTCCTCTGGATTCAGTCCTTAAAACGATGAAGTAGCCATAGCTCCATCAATACTTGGAACAGTTTCTTAAACAAAGAATTCATTCAGGTGAAACTGAATGCATTCAAACATAGATTAGACTTTAATCAGCAGAATTAGACTTGATAGCCTACATCGCTCCCTCCTTTTCCACTGATAGCCCTCTGTTATCCACTTAGAAGAAGGAGATGGGCGGCTAAGAAGTATGAAATATAAAAAGAACAATACCTCTGATTTACACACATATCTCACTTATCACCTTATGATTAATTTTAACAGTGGTCTCAATCATAGTAAGTTAACATTTTTGATTGCATAATAACTCATTGCACAGATCTCCATAGCACTGAATTCTATGTTATTCTCCATAGCATTGATTTTATGATATCTATAACAATAAGAAGCTGTAGAAAATCATTTACAAGGAGAACATGAAACATTTAAAACTGGGACAGAAAAGGTCTTTCATAAAGCCTAAAGCCACTAGACATCCAAAAGATAACACTAGGTAAAAAGGGAATGCGGATTTCCAGAAATTAAGGGTGGATTGAAAAGGCCCTCTGTTATCCATTTAGAAGAAGGAGATGGGTGGCTAAGAAGTATGAAATGAAAGAAAGAAAGAAAGAGAAAGAAAGAAAGAAAGAAAGAAAGAAAGAAAGAAAGAAAGAAAGAAAGAAAGAAAAGGAATTTGTTAATGCACATGTAGGTTGATGTGGAAGATGATATTCCCTCAAGTATGTCATTCCACAATTATGGAGAGCTTTAAATTTAAGTGCTAGGATTGTGCAAATCACCAACAACCAATTCAAATAGTTGAGTCACTGATTTATTTTGAGTGGTTGAGTGTTTGCATGTATCCAAAAGTCTATTATATTGATGCATTGATTTGAAGATACTCAATTGAATATATCTATTTGACTAAGATTAGATTTGATTCAATCTAATTGTTATTAAACTGGATCACTGAATTGAAGTTGCATTAAAGATCGCACCTCTTCCCAGTGTGTATCTTGTTCGATTTCTTCCCATCTTTGTCCATTTTATCATCCATTTTAATGTTAATATTGTTTTCAGGTTTTTAATGTTATCTTGTTTTTATTGATTGTTAGCCACCTAGATTCACCTCTAGGTAATACAGGTGGCATAGAAGATAGATTGATTGATAGATAGTTAATTATGGACAAATAGTATTCATTCACATGCCAATGCAGTCCAAACACCTTTTTAAAATTTAAATTGAAAGACTGTGCATCTCAACTAGTAAGCATTTACACTTGGGAATGCATTCAGAAATAGACCAGCAGCCAGAGAAGCTGTTTATACATCCACTGACAAGATAAATTCCCAGTGCTTAATCTCATTTACTAGCCTAATGTTTCTGTTCTGAGCCCAGCGCTAAAACTGAGCACATTTTACACTTACAAAATTGTACATAAGAACTTCCCATGCTCTATTTCTTTTCTTTAACACTGTACCATGCACAGAAAAATGTGCAGCCTGACCTTATAGTAGAAGTATTCATTTAAAACATGTATCAAGCTATGAGCATATACTGGGGAATAAATTTTTGGGGGAGATTCTGAAGCCATCACTTCATTTTGCAGTCATTGTGTGATTAAGTAGATTAAAGACCTTTTCAGCTTTCTTATACATTCTTGTAAGGGAATGTTCTTCTCTCAAACCATTTACAAGGGACAATTAAATATATGAAGAGAACTTACATGAAGATATATCATGGTGAAAAATATGGATTCTTTCCTGTAGATGTAACCTATAAAGGGAAGATTTGACACAATACCTTTTACATACATATCTCATTTATCATCTTATGATTAGTTTTAACAGTGGTTTCAGTCATAGTAAATTAACTAACATTTTTGATTGCATAATAACTCATTGCACAGATCTCCATAGCACTGAATCAAAACAATAACCTGAGGTTACTGCAACCCATCAATTATGTACTTTTATTATGCAAGAAATGTTGCACATGTTACTGCAATCCCTGTTTTGAAACATGAGCCACTTTTGCTCAATTCCTTTCTTATACGCAGCACATCTGATAGTAGTCTTAACATAAGACTTAACCATAAGTAGTCTTAACTTATGGTGGCAGACAACAATTAAGAAAGACTAGAAATCAAAAATCTAAAGAGGCTTTTTGTGCACGGGTGTGTATCTATAAGTACATATATCTAGGGAATTAAATTTATACTTAATCATCTTCATTCTATTGTAACTTTAGAATCATGCAGTTCACAATTCACCTGCCCTGAAAATGTGCATAGCTGCACTGTGCAAGAGCACAAATTACTTTCTATTACTCCAAAGTATCAAACTTAAATTTTCCTGAGATATTTTTCTATTTGTAACCTGCCTTTATTACTTTTTTTTTTTTTTACAAATAATTCAACCATCTAATCCTGACAAAAGACACATCTGCTTTAAGAAACTGCATGTAGGAGCTGTGTGAACACCCCAGTGGGTTCCAAACCATCTTCCAAGCTGATGCAATACATTACCCCAACAGAAACTATAAACTTAAGCCCGATATTGCTGATGCTGGTGCAGGGCTATGCCAGACTTGCAGAATATGTTTGATTTGGATTGTTGAAAAAAATCCTGAGGCTTTTGCTCAGATCATTCCATCATTTTCCCAGGGTTATTGTGACCCTATTCAGCTCACTGAGGGAGCAAATAGGAGAGCAACCAGCTTGGCAGATGAAGCAATTTTCATTGATTTTACTCTTCTTCAGAGAAACATGGAGAGAACTGCTCTCGGAACCTGCAAAGCACATGATGTTTATTTTCTTCTATGAAGCCAACAAGGTCTTTACATGCTAAAAGTACACCTAATTGTACTACTAAAAAAAAAAAAAAAAAGAAAAAAGGTCTAGTGGCAAAACTTTTCATTTTTCACCTTATCTGTGGATTCTTGTACAGGATATAGGGAACACTGACAGAGAAGCATCAAGAAACCTTCCAAAAGATAGAAGACTCCAACTCTTGGAACTGAGGTCATGGACAGAGAGAGGATCATGACACAAAGACTCAAGCCTGACAAGAAGAGATCTTATACTCAGTAGCTCAGAAATAAATTCAGGGTCTTACTGTTCTTAATAAAGACTAAGAAGATGATTCTGCAAAGGGACGATTCCTACCTGTTTTCTCAACTTGGAGCAATGATAGATGGTCATCATAATTACAGATTCCCTTCTGAGAAAGACTGAAGCAACAATCTGTTTGTCAGAAGCTGTCAAAAGAAGTATGCTGCCTTTCTGTGGCATGCCTTCAGAAGGTTACAGAAAGGCTCCCAAGATGTTTTAAGGCAGCGGTTCTCAACCTTTGGGTCGCGACCCCATTTGGGGTCGAACGACCATTTCACAGGGGTCGCCAAACAACACGATCCGCCATTTTTTCTCAGCTGGCGGCACTGCGCATGCGCGCCGCGCCGCCCATGCGCCGCGCATGGGGCAGCACTGCGCATGGGACGCCGCCGTGCATGCGTGGCGCGCGTGGGGACGATGGCCGTGCATGTGCAGCGCGTCCTTATGACCGGGGTCACCGGTATAAAAAGGTTGAGAACCACTGTTTTAAGGCCTCAGACAAATATTCCTTTCTAGAAATCCATATGGGAATGCATGACATAACTATAAACCCTCTTGAAGATACTGTAAGGGACAATAACGCACTGAAGGAACTAGAATACAAATGATGTTTTATTTACATTTTTTTGATTGAGGAACATGGCCCAAGAAGAGAGAGAATACTGGAAATGAACACATGGATATAGAGATGGTGCCAATGTGAATTGTTTCAATTCTCTTGTAAAAACATTTTTCAAAAATGAACATCTTCTAACAAATGTGGGTTACTCTTGAAAAGAACTGGGAACAATGTGTTCAAAAGGCACCTGGCAAATTTCATTTAAATTGGATCCAATGGGGGCCAGAAAAGAGAATCCAGATACTATGTGGATACATAGGAAGTTTGATTGTGCTATCAAGTTGGTAACAGCTATTATAAAATCTTAGATAGATTTTCTTCATGATGATCCGTCTCTAACCTGGTCTTCCAACAGTGCACTCACTGCCACTATAAATCACTCTACCCACATTGTTTGTGGTCATCTTCTTCTCTTTCCTTCCAAACTTGATCCAATATAACCTTCTATTTTGCCTCACTTCCAGATTAGTTAGTAGCCTCTCCACGAGGCACGGGTAATCTAGTATCAGATATGCCTTGGAACTAAATTGTTATCAATTGATGATCACTATCCTCCCTCACGTGGGTTTAATGTCTGTAAACAGCTTAGACTTGTTTTGCATAACACATATATAATCTTAAAAAATTAAACTGCTAGAGTTTCCTGAATGGCATGTAGAAAGATATATAAAACTAGTTTCTTCACTTCCTAAAATATGGAGGTTGCCTTTATAGATCAGGGAGACCAGTTGTGAGCCTCCCTTATTTCTAGAGGGCCAGATTAAGTCATTTATATGATAATCCACAAACATAAAACTCAGGTGACAGTAGCTTTAGGATGATTTAAGTTTTCTAGATTCACAGTGTAAATGGTTGTCTAAGAGGATACCCACTCATAATGATGTTATTCTAGCCCTAATGCATCTAACTTTTCTATGTCAATGATATTCCAGGATTCCTTCAGACACTCATATACCAAATATCCATGATAAATTTATTAATATCCTTTTATATGCTGATATTATTATTCCAATGGCATATTATCAAATAGGCTGAGGAGACTGTTGTGAAAACTAAATGCTGTGTTCTTAATCCTTTAAATATCAATAAAACCAAATCTAACATTTACTTTAAAAAAGCGTGGAATATAAATGGCAGATAAATGGGGAGCCTATTGAACAAGTTAATTTGTTTACTCATTTAGGAGTGTTTTTTTTAATCAATCCATGGTTATGAGCAAATCATTTAAAATGAAATTTGTCAAGGGCTAAGGCAAGCACTAAAATATTATGTAAAGTATTTAATTATAATTAACTAGACATCTGGAACCCCTGAAAGTATTCAGGCCAAAAATAGTTCCGATGCCAACTTATGGTGCAGACATGTGGGGGCCTTACAAAAGCTATCTTTATTGATCAAGTTCAGACCTGTTTTTTAAGAAGCAAACTGGGAACTGATAAGTACATCTCAACCCCTGCAGTCAGAGCAGAACAGGTATCCATTCCATACATAACCAATCAATAATTAAAGTTTTCACACACTGGCAGAAGATCCATTCAATGGATCTTAATAGACTAAATATATTTAGCGGAATAGTTAAGGATGGTTCAGCCCAATTCCTGGATAAGCTGACTTTCCAAAGTTATTTCACAACATTAGTTTTCCACCCAGTTTTTACTCTCAACTGCCTCCCAGGAAAGAGAAATTTTTAAACAAAAGTCCTAAATATCAATGCTCAAACTGGCATCGAGTTATTAGCAAAAAATAGCTGTTTACATTGGTTGGCTAATTAAAAAACTATTTTCCAAGATACCTGGCAATGAATTTAATAATAGTAATAATAATAGTAGTAAAGTTGGAAGGGACCTTGGAGGTAATCTAGTCCAACCCCCTGCTCAGGCAGGAAACCCTACACCATTTTGGACAAATGGCTGTCCAGTCTCTTCTTAAAAACTTCCAGCGTTGGAACATTTACTGCTTCTGGAGGCAGGCTGTTTCACTGATTAATTGTTCTCACTGTCAGGAAGTTTCTCCTTAGTTCTAGGTTGCTTCTCTCCTTGATAAGTTTCCACCCGTTGCTTCTTGTCCTGCCTTCAGGTGCTTTGGAAAATAGCTTGATTCCCTCTTCTTTATGGCAGCCCCTGAGATATTGGAATACTGCTATCATGTCCCCCCTTGTCCTTCTCTTCGTTAAAATTTCGTTAAAATTTGACACAACTATTAATAAGGGCCTGTCCTAGAGCAAGATTTGAGTTGTTGGACTCTATGGCCAGATATGGGTGCTCCCATAACCTGTCATATCATGAGAGGATGTATCATGTTTTGTTTAACTGTCAACTATACGCCGCTTTTAGGCTTAGATATTTAAGCTCACTAAAGGGGGCACAATGGCCCAGCAATTAAAGACACTGAACTTGTCAGCTGGAAAGATGACAGCCTGGGTTTGAGACCCGAGCGCCGCACATCAGGGTGAGCTCGTTACTTGCCTCAGCTCCTGCCCATCTGGTAATTTGAAAGCATGCAATTCAAATAGATAAATAGGTTCCACTTCGGTGGGAAGGTAACAGTATTCCTTGCATCTCAGTGTATAATCATGCTGGCCACATGACAACAGAATCTTCTTCGGACAACACTGGGTCCCTCCTCTAGTTTACTTAGCCTCACTACTTAAAAGAAAAGCCCACTGGGTTCTGAACTGCAAATTATCCTATTTCCTCCTAGGTTCTACTGCTAAGTTTATGTTAAGGCACCTCAGTTCAGAACCTGAATAAATCAGGGTATCATGTAAAGGTGGGGTACTTATCGGAATTTTTTGTATTTATCACATATGTATTTTATTACTGTATTTTCTTTTATCTATTTTACTCTGGAATTAGATTCTGTATTTTGTTGTTGTATTATATTATGTGGTCATAAGATGAATCAATTAATAAGCTACTACTATTTTTTCTTTCCATCTTTCTCAGCATTAGGTCTTTGCACAGCATGTTCATACTAGGTCATTTGTGCCTTCAATGAGAACTCTAATTTGTTTAATGATCTGTTTGTTTATTTGTTTTCCTGGATGTCCATGATATTCTTAGAAATCTTCTCCAACGTCAAAGTTCAAGAGTTATCTTGCTCCTTCGAGTTCAACTTTCACTTCTATAGAATATCACCGGGAATACCACTGCTTGCACAATTCTGATCTAGATGCATCATGGCATTTGAATATAGATGTAATTGTCAAATTACCAAAGATATGTACTAGCAAGTAGATAACGTCTGTGGAAAGAACATTTATCCTACAAAAGCAACTTAACCAGGCAAAGGAAATGATAAACAACAAAAAGGTCATTTTTAGCTATGTAAATTGAAGAAAAAGGAAGAGGTGAACTCAAAGCTGTAAGAAGATAACAAGCAATGGGGAGAGGGCAGGACTTCTCAATGCCTGCTTTGTTCTGGTCTTCTCCAAAGGGGAACTACAAGTAGTCCTTGACCTACAGCCATAATTGAACCCGGAATTCCAGTCATAAACCATTGCTGCTGTTAAACGGACCACGGTTGATCGCTTCTAATTTTATGACCTTTTTGTGGTGGTTGTTAGGTGAACCCCACCGTTGTTAAGCAAATCCATTATACCCAATGGGTATTTTTTGTTGGAAATGGGAAGTAAATGCCAGTTTCTGGCAAAAAAAAAAGAAGCAAAAAATCATGGTCATGTGCTTGAGGGATGCTATAAAAGGCCACAAATGCAGGCCAGTTGCCAAGTGCCCAAAATACAATCACATGACCGCAGGCATGAAGGTAGCTTTTGGAACTCCAAAATTGGATTACAAATAGCTCTGGGGAGGTCGATTGTAATTTTAAACAATTCTAGAGCAGATTATAATGTAATTGTTTTATAAGCATTTAGAAAAAGAAATGCATACTGGCAGTAAATAGTGTGGGTTCATTAAGGATAAACCATTCGTAAACAACCTGATCTTTTTTGATAGTGACCAGTTTAGATGCTCAAGAAAATGTGATGGACATAACTTAGTTTGCCATCAGCAAAGATTTCCAGTAAAGATAGCACAATGTAGGTTGCATTGTTAGAATGGATACAAAAATGGTTTGAACAATCATGCCTAATGAATGAACCCAATGGCTCCATGTCAAGTTGAAGGAAAGTGTTAAGTAGGGTATCACCAGGCACCATTCTGGACTACACATTGTTTACTAGATTTATAAGTGATTTGGAAGCAGAGTTCTTGAGAAAAAGATGTCAAATTCCACAGCCGTGCCCAGATATGACTATCGAAGATTCTTAAGCCTAAGGCAGATCATAGTTAGGAAAATAGGATCAAAACAGAAAATTTATTCTGTAACCACAAGTCTTTGAGACATTCAGGTGGGGCATCCCATTAGTAGAGAATGATTCTTATTTGCTTTGCCCACGGGGAGACACTGACATTTTCACATGCAGGACAAACCTATAATTGTCTTAGATTGGAAGATAACATGGCTTAACATGCTGGTCTCAGGGAAACGGCTGCAGGGAAATGAGTTTGGCAGAGTTATAGCTAGAAATTAAAAAAGATGAATGTGTTAAGTTCCATGCTGATTTTCCACCAGCAACTCTTTATCAGATTCTGCTGCTAGCAGCTCTGAAGACAATTTGCCAAACTGCAACACACAAAATTTGGGTTTTTACCTTGAGCACCAGTAATCCGCAAGGCATGAAGCCTAAGTAAGAAAAATATGGCATCTCCTCTTCTAAAACTACCTGATGTATTAACATGGTTCAGTTTTTATCCATTGACATTATTAATAGCTTAGTAATCAATTTTTTCTAGTCATGATATAAAACACGATATAAATTTAAAGCAGTAAAAACAAGCATAGTGCATTATTAATTCACCAAAGAAATTCAGACTAATTATGCTGAGATTAAAACTGCTGAGTATACAAAATAAGAAATAGGTCATTTGGCATGCTCCCCTCCAGCCTACACTTCAAAATAAAGAGGACCTAGATTGAGAGCAAGGGTGGGGACATTCAAGTCCTTTCAGTATCTGATTTAATCATTCAGCACAGTATATAAATATTAAACTTAGTGCAAACTGATTATATCATCCTGGAAAGAGATCTGTTGTGCTTTTATTAAAGGACTTTGTGTGTGTGGCTTCGCTTACAGGTGGGTTATTCTGCCTGTAAGTGGAAGAATAATTTCCATTGGCATGAGGGAGCCCCTTTTAATAAGAAGCGCAGCAGCAAGCAGTGGCATTCCTCAAAATTGGGGGTTTCCATGAATGGAAAACAGTGACACTCTCTCTTCTACAGGTATGAGCAGATGAGGAAAACACTCATAAACATTACTGAATTTACATCCATGAACAATTAAAGCACCACCCATCAACAAATGCTAATGCATTGATTTCTGGCTACCAATGTTAAAACATAAGAGTGGCACAAGAGAAGAGGTCATAGCTCAACAGAGCTTCCCATACATAGCATGAAAAGAATTTCTAGCTCAATTTCTATGGGAAAGGACTTCAGGTTATTGGTGGAAAGAGCCCCACTTAAATTGGGGTGCTTCTAGAATTAGAACTAGGTTGCATTTTTACATAGTTGAGAAAATGCAGTGACTTTACAATGAAGGGGGCAAAAATATATGTGGAAAAATCCTTGCTTGTGCTTGCTCTTGTCCCTGTTTTTCCTGATCGGTTACTTTTTTTTTATGGCAAGGGAGGCAAGGCCTTTTCAAGTCAAGATAGGCTAACAGGAGATCTTCACTCTTATTCTGCAGGATTTGTATTATTCCGGAGGACAGTATTAGGCACAAAGGCTTTATACATTTGCCCAACATTATTGTCAGTAGGCTCGCGTAAGATCAATTCTGAATATGCTTCAAGTTTTTAGCTGGAAAGAAAAAGAAATATAAGTATCTGCCTTATGTCAAGTCAGATTATTAGATTATCCTGTTCACTATTGTTGAATTCAGTTTCCAGGCAAATGTATTTCCTCAGCTATAGCCCCAAATGCATATAAAGCATATACTCTATTGTGCTGCTTTGGCATTTTATTGTTCCAATTCAGCTGAGCACTAAATGACAGCAGAGAAAGCTGTGCTAAGGGGATTGGTTATTAAATTCAGGAGACACATGTGTTCCACTACAAATGCTAATCTTCTGTGTAACAGTTGTTTTCCAAATTATTATGACTTTTAATAAACAGACTTTTTTTTCTGTGGCAGTTTTGAATTATTTTGCTTACCTACAACAGAAAAGTTAATTATATTTGTAAATCAGAACTGATGTTCTCCTACAGAGAATCCTACAGTTCTGCTATTCCCATAGTTAGGCACTGGTATTACAAAACAGTCTTTCAATTATTGTGGCATTACTTCAAATATGTATGAATGCACTAACAGAAGTATAGGTGAGGAGTTATCATTCCTCTTTATTCTGTGTTGGTCATACTGTATCTGGAATACTGCATACTGCATTTTAGGATAAATTTTAGGACAAATTTAAAGCCTATTTCCAGAAGACCAACCCAAAAAACAGCATGGAATGAAACATGTGTGAGGAAGTGTTCAATTGGTTTAGTTAGCCCCCAAAACAGTAGATTATGGAAGATACCAGAACTCCATGGTCCCTTTGAACATTTATATTTTATGATACTGAGAAAAAACTACTTATTTCAAAAATTAACAGTCACTGAATGAACAGTCAGCAAGTGAGGACTAATTTAATTTAATTTGGCCAAAATGACTTAGGTGGACCATGGCCTATAGTCAAGGCTTGTTTGATAAATTAAATTTAGTATTTTTTTTAAAAAATCAGACAATAATTATGGGGTGGTTTTTTGACTGCTCATTTTAGACGCCTTAGTCATTGAAGTATTTATAAAACCAAGCGTCTGCCTCTATACTGTCTGAAATTTTGAAAGCAATCCATCTGTTGTGGTCTGTAAGTTCAGTAACTTTCAATAAACTGTTGAGAAATAGCTAAGATACCACAGATGCAATATTTCCCCCTACATATTTCTTTGAAATGTGTCCAAAAGCCTCTTGCTTTCAATGTTTATTCAACATCCTTTTTTAAAAAAGTGTAAGTTTACACTCTTGAAACTTTAAATGGAACCAAATTGTTTGATAGTTTCATTGCAATGTTCATGAGAATGTTCAATTAACTCTTTCAAGGAAGAAGTTCTTCCATTGGGAAAGATTATGCTGCCATGTCTGGAGTACCAGATGCATCAAATGTTTGAAAAGATGACTTATTATTATAATAATAAAACGAAATTTATAAACCTAGCAAAACTTATGCTTATTCTTTGCATTGTTTCATGAGTCCCACGGTGTGTTATTGGATACTTGGATCAACATACAAACTGCACAAAACAGAGCACAACAAACATGGAGTGTTTGTCTGAAGCTCCAGGTATTTTTTGCAAATCCTGGGTTTTCTCAAACCTTCTGGCAACAATCTTCTTATCCCCCAGAGAATGCTGTTTTGGCTAGTTAAGGATCCAATTCAAAGAATGTGTTCACTGTAATATACACGATAAAATATTTTTTTACCGTTCAGCATTTTCCTTGGTGAGTTTCACAGCGGCTTCTAATTTATCAATGGCAATGAGCTGACTCTAGGAACAAAAGAGACAAAGCATAATAAAAGCAAACATGAAAACATTTCTCAGAGACAGTAGGATATCCTTGGGGAAAAGCAATTCGAAGTGAGCGATGCTAAATGTTTTGGAAATGACCTTTTGTTAATCTATATCAGGGAAAAGGATACACTTTTCAAATGCAAACTACCGGTAGCAAATTTTACCTGGTTATGGCTTTCCATGTGCTTTCTGGTAAAATTGTACAATGGTATAAACCTTGCTTAACAGAATAAACTTTGATTGTTGGAACATGCAACATGCTAGGCCATAATCCATGGTTTCCAAATTACCCTATGTCCATGCACTGTGCTAACCTATTAAATAAGCAAATTGCACTAAGGATTATCAAGCTATAACAAACCACTTTCTTGTATGATCACAAATCTGTTTCTAAGAAAACAAGAAGAACCATGCAGGACCAGATTAAGATAAAGCTAATCCAGGATTCTGCTCACACAATCAGCAATCGAGCCCACAAGTTTCATATAGACCAAGAGACCTACTCTACAGCAACTGGTGTTTAGACCAAGTTGCTCCTGATTCTGGGGGTAACGCAAAGTCAGCTTACTCAGTAAAAGAAGAGAACTTCAAATGGGACTTTGAAGTCAAAGTGCTCATCTTTCTTCTCCTTGTTCATTTTTGCTCCAAGAAAAAAGGACAAAGTTAGCATGATTTATAGTTTGGTGTATGGGTTAAGGCACCAAGCTAGAATCTGGGAAACTGTGAATTCTACTCCTGCCTTGGGTACAAAATCAGTTGGGTGACCTTGGGTTAGTGACCCAGTGTTTCTCAACCTTGGCAACTTTACGATGTGTGGACTTCAACTCCCAGAATTCTCCAGCTAGTGTTGCTAGCTGGAGAATTTTGGGAGTTGAAGTCCACACATCGTAAAGTTGCCAAGGTTGAGAAACACTGGGTTAGTCGCTTCCTCTCAACCCTAGGAAAGAGGCAATGGCAAATCACTTCTGAAAAATCTTGCCAAGAAAACTCAGGTACTTGTCTGGGCAGCCTCTGAGAATCGGACACAACTGAATGCAAGGGGGAAAAAATCCATCTAATGAAATGACACTTACGTGAGGAAGCTTTTTCAGAAGACTTAAACCAATTGCCCCTGAGCCACAGCCAACTTCCAAAATAACTGGACCACAGGTCTCTGAGAAATCCTGAAGGTCCTTGCTGCATGCAGAAGTCAATCTTTTTCTGTGTTCTTCATCCAGAATGAGTGAAACCAGTTCCTAGAAGATACAACTATTTATTTACTAAAATTTGTATGCTGACACAGTCATTAGACATTGGATGACTCACAATTACATAAAATCTATAGTCCAGAATCAAAATCAAAACTTTAACTATTACCCCAATTCTACACAGATTCCAAAGCTGAGAAGGATGGATAGTCTTTTTGCATTTCAGTGCCAAATGGCTGCACAAGACAGACAGAAGACAGCAGATGAAAGTGTCTGGGAAGTGGTGAAGATACAGTACTAGAATTTTAAAAACTAAACTGTGTGTTAAAACTTAAGGGCACTAGTAGAAAAGTTTAAGATCACTACAGTCAAAACTGCATTTCAACAGATTCTATGTAATACTGTAGCGCAGCATTTATTTTTACTCAGAAGCAAGTTCTACATTTCTCTGATAAGTCCTTGTAGGTCTGCTGCCTTTGTTTGTTAATGGGTCACATTTACCTCATAAAATTTTCTTCCTTTCTCCAACAGAATTTGAACTCCTGGCTGATGCTGGAAGAATAGGAGGTAGCCATGGCTAAGAGGGCCTGTGCACACCTTTGGGTTGTGTGCCTTTATCCCATTCTTGGACCAGTAGGCTCCGCTCACTATCATCATGCTGTTGTGATCCCATTTGAACTATTGCTATGCGCTTTAAATAAGACTGCCCTTGAGGAGTATCCAGAAGCTTCAGCTGATGTTTAGTCCTGTTGCTCCTGATTCTGGAGGTAACACAGAATCGGCTTAACTATTAGCTGTTTAGTATCTGATTGTTAATAAATTTATCTAATACCTTTTTAATGCCTCTCAAACGGGCAATCATTGCTAACTTTCTGGAAGCAAATTCAATAGTTTAATCATTTTAGAGTTGTAAATGCTGTCAGCTGTTTGGCTTATGAAATATCACTGCCTCAGGGGTTACACTGGTCACCAGTGTGCTTCTGGGTGAAATTTAAAGTGTTGGTTGTCATCTGTAAAGCCCTTCACCGCATAGGACTGGATTACCCTGTCTTCTCCCAGCTGTTTCTATCTATCCAATCTGGTCTAGCAGGATGGGTATGTTCTGGATCCCATGAACTATTGGATGTCAGCTGGCAGGGACCAGATGGCCCTTCTCTGCCATAATGCTTGCCCTCTGGAACATTCTTTCTCCAGAGAATGACTCTGTTGGCCTTTGGAAGGCCTTGAAGGCCTGGTGATGAGCCTGGGCCTGGGATCCTGAGTGTGTGAAGGGCCTTGTTTCCCTGGTTATGTTGTCACCGACAGATTATAGTATCTTCTGGCCTGCTATTTGTGTTTAATTTTTTCTCTGTATTTTAATTGTTTTCCCGGTTGTTCATCGCCCAGAGTTACTAGTTTGAAATGGGTGGCTATACAAACTGAATAAACAATCAAATTAAAAAATGCTTGGTTCTAGTTAAAAAAAAAAAACAGCTTCCCAATGTTTCTATATCTTTTAAAAATCTGAATCTAACCTTTGTACATGAACAAAATCCACAAAGAGCACAAACGTTTGTAGGTATGAAAACATAAAACCGAAAAGGCTTTTCTTTAACTCCAACAACCATCTGTAGTTTGTAAACAATGAACTGGCATGAATAAGTCTGTTTTTTTTCCCTTATTTTTGCATTAGGTGCTGAATGACTCGAAAAGCAAACTGTGTATTTGTATACCTAGTGTTCACAGACCCCTCCTTCTCCTCCTCCTCTTCCAGCCAGCCAGCAATACAAAGTAGGTCATAGTGCAGCAGAGGCCACAGAAACCTAGAAGGAAAACTTTCCCATCTCTCCCAATTACTCAAAGGGAATAAATGTAATTGTGTGGCACTGTAAGTGACCACTGTGGAAACATTTCAGACTTTGTAAAAGGTAATAAAATAAAGCAGCTGGCACAAATGAGTTCTTGAGAGTGCAATTACACCCTATAGACTTATTTAAGTGAGAGTGCCTATCACCACCCATCTCTGCCATTTTGGCCGCTCTATGCACCGCTGTCCTTGCTCTGCTTGCCCGTTGACCTTCATCATCTTCTTCTTCCCACTGCTAAAGTGCATCTGACCTGTCTCTTTGTGAAGCTGTGCAAAGCTTATGCAGCCAGTAGCTGCCTCACAAACCGCCCGGTGAAATGCGCCTTGCCACCAGTGGGAGGAAGAAGACTATGAAGGTCAGTTGGGGTGGGCTAGGCAGTGGAGCACAAGGTGGCTTGGAGTGGTGGTGGTGTGGTGCAGGAACAAGGGAGCCCTGGGTGGCCAAAATGGCAGAGACAGGGGTGGTGAGGGAGAAAGGTATGGGGGGGGGAGTTGAGGCCAAAGTGATCTTGGCAGGGCAGAACGAGTGTGAAATCTTGATCAAACTATTACAACTGGGATTACTGAAACTGTTGTTGCCAATGCTATGTCCACAGGATGTTTCAGTTAGCAGCGGAAATCCCAATCCCAATTAGGATCATTAAACAAAGACTTCCTGCAATTTGTAACCCAGTATAAACTGTCTCTTATATGTAAATTCTAGAGTCCCAATAAGGAGCAAGATGTTAATACATGCATACAACTCAGATTTCTCTAGTCAAGATAAAAGATCAGCAAAGGTATGACAGGACTAAGAGATGCTTTCGGGACAATCTAGCAAACCATTGTGAACTTTTTCTAATCTGGGCAGTCTGTAAGCAGTGAAATACTATTACAGACTCTGGGCAGTCTGTAAGCAGTGAAATACTATTTTTCTTATTAAATGATCAATGAAATTGAATCCTGTATATGTGTCTTTGTATTTGTGTTTTCCACTCTTCTCCTGAAAACTAAAATAAAGTACTAAAAGTAAAAAAGACCAGTTTCTTGTATAACTAATAATATATCATCACCTCCCCTTTTCTATTGCTTTGAGGGATAATATAAAGCAAACTTTGATCTGCTAATTGATTTCATTGATTTTAGTCAAGTCATCATTAAGGGATCGTGATAATTTTTCCACTGAAAAATGCCCAAGATATTCAATATTTCTTCTTAGGAATAGCAAAAGCCATTTTTTAAAAGATACCCAGTTCTGTTAGAAGTTTTGCTAAGATTCAATGGCATGTTTTTACAAAAACGGTCCAATAGCTATGCAATGTTTTTCAGAAAACATGTAATATTGGAAGTGCATTGCAGTAAAACAGAAACTGCAGTGCAGATAGGACTCAGCCAAAGGAGCCAATGGACTAGAAAATGTGACTGCTTGCTTCCCTCCTCTCCTTATCAAGTAAAATAATTTGGCCATGAACCGAGGAACCAAATAGTTCCATGGCATTTTATACTGTAGAACCAAAATACACTGATGGAGCAGATATCTGGAAGAAGGAGAAGAGATTCAAGGATTGTAACTATTTTCACCATCAAATTATAGAGGATCCACAAAGCCCAAATACACACACAGAAGGCCAACTGCAATGTCACAGGAAACAGCCAAGGAAGACATATCATAGGGATCACCACTTGGGGTTTTCTACGTGAAGAAGGCCCAGGTTTTAATTCTAGGCACATCCAGGCATCCTCTCCTCTCCATTTTTCTGCCTGTTCTATTTCTTTCATGCAGAATTTAGGCTGGAATTGTAACCATACTTAAGAAAGAATCTAAGACTAGCTCTGTTTTGTGTCTTCTGAAATGCTAAAGATCTGAAAAACCTCTGACCTGGTCCAAACTGTTTCAGGAAAACTGCTTTATATCAGCCAGAGCCTGACTCATGTCAAGAGTTACCACTGTAATTCACTCAAAATTCAAAAGCCAATAGAATAAATTACTTGTATTCAGTAAACCACTTATTTCAGTCATTTGCTGTGGGAAAGCTACAGTCCTGTTGTAAAAAGATGAAAGTACCCAGAATGGTTCAGAAAGGTTTTTGAGGCGTATTAGTGCGTTTCTCTGAAACAAAGGAACAAAGAACAGGAACAAATATTTCTAGAAGAAAAAGTAGGTTGTAAAATAAATACAAACTTTGACCAAACTTACTTTCCTTTTCTCTAAAAAGCGAAACATCAATAGGGAAGAAGAAACAGCAGGAAGCCTATTAAAACAGCAGAGCAATAATTCCTAGAAGTCAACCCAATAAAATAGCTGTTCTCTGAATTTAAAACCAATCTGCCCCCTAGTGGCCAGCCCCCCTTTTTTTTACAGAAATAAGCAGTAACAAGACAAAGCATACAAAAATCCCATTTTTCTACATCGCCCATCACTTTATTCTTTTTCAGGAAAACCAGTTAAATAGTAGAAAACAGTAAGCTATATAAATTAAATGCATTACATCTACAAAAAAAGGAAAAAGAAACAGCTGAAACTAGTTTATACTAATACGATTCAGTATTGGAACCAAAGCAGACAGACTTCTTAGATCTGTTATGGGCACCCTTGCTCTAGCTCAGTGGTTCTCAACCTGTGGGTCGGGACCCCATTTGGGGTCGAACAACCATTTCACGGGGGTCGCCAAACAACGCAGTCTGCCATTTTTTCCCCCTTTTCCTTAGCTGTGCTACTCCCTTTTATTCTATTGGCTTTTGAAAGCCATAGAATAGACTCTCTTGAATAGAGTCTAATTCTATTGGCTTTCAAAAGCCAATAGGAATTGTCCAGGCTGTCTCTGCCCTGCTGAGCCCGCCAAAAGTCCCATTCTGCAAACGGTGCTGCACCAGTTGAGTAGTCCTCGACTTACGACCAGTTGAGTAGTCCTCGACTTACGACCGGTTGGGGGGTTGCGCCATTAAAAAGGTTGAGAACCACTGCTCTAGCTATTAAGAACTTCTTAAAGGAGCTATAGCTTCACTACATGGGCTCATAAAAATACCAGTTAAGTTTAGGAGGCATTAGGGAAGCAGTGGTGGGTAACACTCGCTTTCTAGCAGGAAAGGAATGGGGCTCCTATTGTGCTCATCTATAAACAGAAATTCAAATGCAAAAACAACTCATCCCTTAAGACTACAAAATATATCTGAGGACAAAAAAACAGATTGGATAAAATGGAATGTAGAAATGTTGAAAACATCAGAGAGAAAGAAAGTGATAAGAGAAGCAAAAAAGGAGAAAGAGAAAAACATTTTCAAGAAACATGGAAAAGCAAAAGCCTCACATAAAGAAACTTTATTCAATTTACTTCTTATACCTATAGCAGCAGTCATGAATATATGGAAAAACTTTTTGATTCAGCAAAACACATCGATTAAGAAAGATACTGGTCAAAGGAAAAAGATCAAAGTGAAAATTAAGAAAATAGATGATGGGATCTACCAGAGAGAATATTTAAAAAAGAAACATTTGTTTGAATATGACTAAAGAAATAGAAAAGATTCTGAATACATATGTCATTCTAAGAGAGATGAATTCCTTAAATAATACTGTATGTTTCCCCCCCTTTTTATTTTATTTCTTGATATAAGTAATATAATACTGCTGAAATGGCCTAGATGAAGGAAATGTTTTAGATAATTAAATGTGTCTGAATTTAGGGAAATTATAATGTATAAAAAAGAAAAAAATGTTTTGAATAAGACCTAAAGAATTAGATGACTAGGCACATTAAATGGAATATTTAAAGATTAAATATAATTTATCAAAATAATAAGAACTATATTATTTCAAGATTTGCAAAGAAGACATTTTGGGGAAAAGGGGAAATCAACTAAATGTACTATGTGGATTATGGATTATAGAAACCAATTGTTAATGATTTTTCTTTACAAATGTAAACCCAGCAAACACACTGTTTACCAACTATTAAGTGATTTATGTTTTAAAAAATCAATAAAATATATGGAAAAAAATACTAGCTGAGTTCAGGAAGCATTAGTGAAGCAGTGGTGGGCAACACTTGGCTTTCTAGCAGCAAAGGAACGGGGTTCCTATTGTGCTCATCTATAAACAGAAATTCAGTATTGTAAATAAGTTGCTAGCACGGCATTCCAAGTCTCGCAAAAAAGAAGTGCAGTCATTTTGGAAAACTTTAATAATAACAACATCATAAGAACAGAGCTGGAAGGGACTTTGAAGGTCAGTCCAATCCTCTACTCAAGCAGGAGATCCTACACCATTTCAGGCAAATGGTTGTCCAATCTCTTCTTAAAAGCCCCCAGTGTTGGAGCACCCACAACCTCTGGAAGCAAGTCATTCCACTAATGAATTGTTCTCACTTTCAGGAAATTTCTCTGTAGTTCTAGGTTGCTTCTCTCCTTGATTAGTTTCCATCTATTACTTCTTGTTCTCCCTTCAGGTGTTTTGGAGAATAGGCTGACACTCTGTTCTTTGTGAAGACACGAATCCAAAGAAATAGCTAATCTTACAATAAATACTGTACACACAGCACTGGACTGCAATACCATGCTTATTCCTTTACCTCTTTAGGAACCCAAAGGAAGCTCTGTTGGGTTACTGTTCCTTCCTTATTTCCTTTTCTTCTCAGTCTGCACTGGAGTACACATTAGCTAAGGAAACAAGGAAAATCTTCCATGCACATAAAACACATTATTAACCATTTTCATTTGGAAGACTCCCTGAAAATTTCATCAAGCAAATTGGTTGATTTATTGTAAATGTCATCAAGTTTTATAAATAAATATTATGGTCAGCCAATTAGAGAGCAGAAAAAGGCTGTATGTTCTTCTGGTAAACAAAAAAAGAGAAGCATTTTGTAGCTGCAGTTTCTTTCATCATCTACCATTTAAATGACATTCCTGGAAAAAGACCCACAAGAAAATCCTGTTGTTTTGAAATAAGCAAAGTGACCTTACACAGCCTATGAACTTTGAGTGATTAAAAGACTGGCCAGCCACTCAGCTTGTGCAACAAGATTTATATAAATATTGTACTGGTCATTCTTGGAAGACACACAGTCATGTAGCTCTGTCTTGCTAGGTGCTGCTTGGGCACTTAGTTTTTCTCTATTCTTTTTGATCATGGTGTACTTTTTTGATTAAGCTGCATGAAACTCGCTCGCTTGTTTTTATCACTCTTCTCTGATTGCACAGGAGCGTGGTCATGAGGTTCTCTATGTTGCATAATCCTTTCCTTTTCCCCATCTTGTTTTGTTTCATTTTAATTTCGGCATGTGGGGGGGGGATTATTCATCTCACTTTCCAATGCCTTCACAGCCTGCTGTCTCCTTTGCCGCCATCCCCTTCCAATGCGAGCATGCACTTGGGCTGCACTTCCGTCCTACATCTTTTGGGGGTAGGGGTGGATGAGAAGGGGACTGCCAATGGGTCCAAGATCTGAGGGGCAGATTGCTGCGAAAGTGGAAGCGGGATCAGAGGAAAAAGCAAAACTGGGGCTAAGCAGGCATTGGCTGAGCCAAGAAGGTGTCAGTGCTGGGCCAACAAAATTGAGGATGGGGCATGGGGTGGTGGTGGCGGCGGGGAGAAGACGTGAAGGAAGTCAGAGTACGATGATGATGATGATGATTACCAATACACCCAAACCTAGCTAAATACATTAAATCCAAGATATGGTAGAAATACCCAGAATCATGGAGCACATCAACCTCTGCCTCTCTACCTGCTTTCAATTTGATGGACAAATATTACCAACAAATCAGAGGCCTCGTAGCAAAAGCCCTTATACAGTCTCTAGAAATACTACTAAAAATATGGATCTGGCTTACAGATACGTCATAATAAAAAAGGGAGAACTAGAGAAGACACATGAAACAATCAACAACATCTTCAAAGAAATAAAATTCACAATGTGAGAAGAAAATATAACATGCTGCTCTCCCTAAATATTCTCATCAGAAGAGGAAATGATAGCAATTTAGAAATGCAAGTCTATGGAAAAATAATCTGCATTAATCAAATGCTATTATCAAAG